ACTCAACAAGAAGGGCTCTAAAGTTAAACACCTTTTCTTTATTTCTTTATTCTTCTGCCTTTACATTCTATGTTTTGGCTGATTTTTTCTGTGTTTAAGATAGCGTCGGAGAGTGGCAACACTATACAACACTTTTCACTGTATTTTGTAACAAAATTCATGTGACAATAAATAAATCAGTAAGTAATATCCCTGTGCATTTACTGCAGGAAGACTTGCAGCTGCATCTACCTCATTCACATCTCTTATATGTGAGTTGCATCTTTTTTTTTAATCTTCCATCAGTCCTCAAAACCAGACAATTCTGATTTTTACAAAAGCTCACAGACCTAAAATGTTAATCCTGTATCTTTTCCCACATATGCTGAATTTCTCCAGTATTTTCTGTTTTTATTTGATTTTCTGGTCAGATTTTGCTTTTGCATTGTAATGCTGCTTAAGTATCTTATGTTTTGTTCTGATAATGGAGCAAGAACCCCAAATTACTCACAAATGTATTGAACTTTTGGACAAAACATGCATGTTTCTCTTTTTAGACAAGGACTGCAAAGCAAGCTTGGCTGACAGTGTAATCTCTGAGAATGGAGTTCACTGACTGCTGAAAGATTCCTTTGTAGAGCTCTGGAACATCTCAACAGTAGGGTGCCAACAAAGCATCAGAGGGAGACTCCAAAGGCAGAGGTGCAAGGCAATTTAATTACCTCCTCTCAGCAGGAAAACATCTCCTGTGCGTCATATTTCAGATTGTGGACATGAGTCAAAAGACATGCTTGTGCTTGACCTTTCCAGGAATAAACAAAAAAAAAGTGAGGAGCCACGCAAGTGTATGTCAGTGGAGTGATGAGCTAGTATGGACAAATGAGTTATGGAGGTCACAGCAATTAGATAGCCCAAAGCTACAAGTAAAAAGAAACAATTATCTCTCATTCTGAGTGTTGCAAGCAGTCAGCAAGTCCAACACCATTGAACAAGAGTTTTAGCTAACTTACAAAACCAAACATCTCAAAATTGCCTGCTCACTATCAACATTAACATAATGAGTATTACCCAAAATCGTGGCCATAACATTCCACTATCTACTCTTCACAGACAACTCGGAGACTGATCTGTATATCTTTTATTTTGTTTGGACTCACTTTTCACTTCTGATCTATTTGTATTTGTGTGTTGCGTTATTACTTTTTTAGTGCTTAATCACTGATAAACTCACTCTTTCTTTAACTTAAGGAATTCTGATTGAGTCGTCTTATTTTAAAAACTAAGCTCATTTAGCCTGAGAGAAAGGTATTGACAAGGACAAGGGTCCTTCTTGATTAAGGACAACAAGGTGCAGGGCTGGATGAACACAGCAGGCCAAGCAGCATCATAGGAGCAGAAAGGCTGACATTTCAGGCCTAGACCCTTCATCAGAAAAGGGAATGCCTCATCCTGGGAGCAGATGCGGCGGAGGCGAAGGAATTGGGAATAGGGGATGGCATTTTTGCAGGAAGGTGGGTGAGAGGAGGAGTATTCTAGGTAGCTGTGGGAGTCAGTGGGCTTGAAATGAATATCGGTTTCTAGGTGGTTGCCTGAGATGGAGACAGAGAGGTCCAGGAAGGGGAGAGAGGTATTAGAGATGGTCCAGGTAAACTTAAGGTTGGGGTGGAAGGTGTTGGTGAAGTGGATGAACTGTTCGAGCTCCTCGTGGGAGCATGAGGCGGCACTGATACAGTCATGAAGGGTCTAGGCCTGAAACGTCAGCCTTTCTGCTGCTATGATGCTGCTTGGCCTGCTGTGTTCATCCAGCCCTGCACCTTGTTGTCTCGGATTCTCCAGCATCTGCAGTTCCTACTATCTCCTCTCCTTCTTAATTAACCTGGCTGTGGCCAAACTATTGGGCAGGTAAGTAAAGAAAGGGAGTCAATTTCTCTTCCCCAAGCACTGGGTGCATAACAATTTGGTGTATCCAGTCTGGAACCAAAGAGTATTAGGGAATCTCAGCCCAGAGACTTGTCATTATAGTTTGATGCCTACCTTGTGTTGGTTTTACGTATGCATATTGTGCTGTAAGGTGCCTAAGTGGTAAATTTCGACCACTTCCAGCACAGGAAAGTCTTAATCACCTCCCCTTGACATTCAGTGGCAATCCCCTACGCGGATATTGTATCTGACCAGAAATTCAAGTGGATCAGCCACATAAATGCAGTATCCATGAGTGTGTGATAGAGGCCAGGTATTCTGCGGTGAGAGACTCACCTCCATATTCCCCAGTGCCTCTCCATTGCCTATAAGACACAAGTCAAGAGTCTGATGGAAGCTTGACACCGTCCAGAACATATAAGTCTGTTGGACTGGTACCCCATCCTTAAACAGCCTCAACCTCCACTATTGGTACAGCACATTAGCTGTGTGTACTATTCCAGGGAAGCAATGCAGCAAGATGCCAAGACTCCTTCCATAGCAACTCCCAAATCCAGCATTTCTACACCTACAAGATCAAGGGTAGCAGATGCAAGGGAACACCAAGCGGCTGTGTTCCCTTCCAAGCCACATACCATCCTGAAACTTTCCCAGTGTTCCTTCACCGTCACTGGGTCAGAATCCTGGAACTGTGTCCCTAACAGTGCTGTGGCAGTACCTACACCACGTGGATAGCTGAGGTTCAAGAAAGCCCTCAGTTTCACAAGGGTTACTAGGCGGGGACAATAAATAATGGCCTTGATAATGACCATAACCTTCACTGGCTACATGTACACTAGAATAAAAGTGTGACTTTTTTTGAATACTATAATTACACAATCTGATCCTAACCACTGTGGACCACAAAATAACAAGAGTGGCCGTGGGTATGAATTGATCTTGGCAGTGAGTTGAGTGTGAAGGTGAGCTGTGCTCTGATTGACAGTGCTGTTCTGAAAGTGACTTTATTACATGCACTGTGCCTGTCTGGATACGTGTGACTCTAGCCGCGCTGAAAGGAACACTGAATGGTGCTATTTGTAGCAAGGGTGTAGTCAAGAGTGAACTGTGTCAGCATCGTGCATCCTCGCCATGGAACTAACCTTCAGAATCTTTGCCGCCTGCTCCATTGGGACGTTTTCTATCACTTAATCGTGGTTGGGGTGGTAGCTGTCACTCATTTAGGAGTAACTCCCCACCTGGAACATTGTGATAACCATTTATACATCATCGAGGCCAAGAGCTTGGAATATGATGATAATGAATAGGTTCGCTTCAGTTGCTACACCCTCACTTCAGGCAATGATCAGAGAATGTTTTCCCATTGGTATTGCGTTACCTCAAACTGTATTGTGTAGCGCTATTATCTCATTACGCACTCGTGTATGACATTGCTCTGTGTTGGTACACATGCGTGTGTTCAACAAGTCGATGTGATGTGTCTAGTGTGTGGACAGGAGGCCTAGCAAGTTTCTCAACTTTTGTGCACTAGTGTCCTTATTAGCCTCTCCCATTGACTGGCAGCAATACAAAAAAGCCTCATCCTGTAATTACATAGCCTCTCCAGCAGCAAGTCCTCAGCTACGCCTCCTCACAGTGAGACACAGAAACTGGGCCCCTCACAGGCCGAGGTTGAAGTTTCATAGGAACCTGGAATAGTTTGGCCCCAGGACATGAGGAGTGCAGACCCTCTGCCACTCCTGAATCAGCCTCCTGGCTAAAGTCAAATAACTCTACTGCCTTGAGGATACATTGAGAAGGGCAGGTGAAAGCAAAGGCAGTAAATCCTGGCAAATTGGAGTGAAGTCCAAAGGTGAAAGACGCCTAACTCTGCCATCTTGCCAGAACCTCTTACAACCGAGCTGTTGCTAAATGTAGAACTGTGCACTTGCTTTGACCCAAACTAATGGGTGAAGAGGAACCCCTGATGATCAGGCAGTCCAGGGTCTCAATAGGATTTGTCTAGGTTTGCCCAGTGGTGAAGATAATCCAGTTTCGCTGAGAACAGCGTTGACACCGAGGAGTATACTGTTGTCTCACAAGATGGATGGCTGACAGAAAACCCTGTTGTAGGGCATTAGGGTATCAGTGTTACTGTCTGACATTGCGCTAACTGTTACTGTGTGACATGGTGCTGACTGTTACTGTGTGGCATTGTGCTCACTGTTACTGTGTGACATTGTGCTCACTGTTACTGTGTGACATTGTGCTGACTGTTA